ATGACACCCCACCAATTCAAAATTTGACCTCATTTTTTGTGTAATGGCCAATTTGTCCTTATTGGAGCCTGGCCAATGTTGAGGTGACACCGAGTTTCGTGGCAAATGGATCCCACCTTCTATCGACTGGAAGATGAGGCCTTAAAACTCCCTGATGTCATTCCATCCCTATCCCTTCGATCCATTGCTGACCAGAAATCATTGTAATGTTATTCTACAAATCATATTTTTTACCTTTCCCGTAGATCTATGTAGTGACAGAAAATTGTGGGCTTTGTGAATTCTTACAATTCCTTCCATTAAAAAACTTCACAACTGATGATTTATTGCTGTACCTGCCACCGTTGAGCACGCTGTTTGTGTTGTAAAATATCTACTTCATCGTTACATGCTTTATTCTTCAGCACCTCTGCCACCACCGAGTTTAGCGGCTAATGGGATGGTAAGTCATAGACTTTTATCAACTTTTATCATCATACTGACTAGTTGTTGTTTTTTTTGTGATCTTGTTATTACAAATATTTGTTGTTAATTCAATCATGGGTGGGACAGAAAATAGTTCAGCATTATCTAAGAAATGGAAGACCGATCATGAGATAGATAGGAGAGAATATTGATCTTTATCCTTAACTAGTTGATTTTATGCCCAAGAGGTATTTTCAGCCAACGAAAGTGAAGCTAGTGAGGCTCTATTGTCCGTGTTGAGTCACTTTTTTATGGGTAATGGGCTTTTGAATGCAGAGGAGTGATCGTTGAAGCGTCAGAGGCCGTAGCAGAAGAGAACGGTGTAGCAAGTGACGCCGCTTCTGTATGATTTGTGTTCGTTTATACTGGACGTATCACAGCTTCGTGCCAGCTTAGTTGCGTCATTTAGGTGAAAGAATGATGAAAAATGATGATGAACCTGTACTGAACAAAAACAGAAAAGATGTTGCTTTGATGTAGATTTATTTTACAGCGGCGTTTACATTAAATTTGATTTTTATTATCCCATTATCGAGTAGATTCATCCAGTCAAATTAAAGCTACTTTGATTGGATTCTGATTTTTCTTAATCATAAATAAAATTTGTACAAGCCAATCCATTTGCAGGCAGATCATTTTAGATTTCGATTATTTTTATTAAATTACATTACAACTCAGTTATTCGAATTTTTCGCTTTTTATATTTTTCGCTTTTTATGATTTTCCTTAGATATCTCAACTTTCAGCTAAAATCCTTGGACTCTTCACTCAGTAAAACGGGGAATGCGGACGATACAAAGAGCACGACGAAAGAGTGAGTAATTGACATTGCTTACATCCGGTTCTATGGCAGTAATCACTTTTGTACTAATCGAGGTGTCTGTTTCATAACTTTCCAGCCCTGTTTTAATCACCTTGAATCCGTAGTTCGGTCGATTAGATGATCGGCTACCTAAAAAAAGCCGTGTGGTTTTATAATTTTAATGGTTATAAATATAATTTGTAGGTGGAAAACATATTTGTGATTCTTAACATTCAGCCTTCATGGCGTAGCCTAGTTAACATGGGAGTTACTTAGTTGGGAACACTAGGGCGAGAAATTCTTAAAGGTCGAAGATTAGGTAAGGACGGCGGGAGAGGGTGAGATGAAGGTAAAATATTACTTGACCTTGTCGATATCAAGCAGTAATATTTTTCTGCCAAAAAATTTTATCGACTACTCCATATCCATAATTCTGGTTGATTATTGCCCTGTATCAAATTTTTTCGCCTATGAAATTAAGACAGTATTCGTTCATTAAATCTTTTGCCATTTCGGGTTACCTCTGAGAAAGAGATAGAATTCGATGGGTAAATGGGTCGATGAGTCTTTGTTTCGGGAAGACAGGAAAGTCGGCGAATCAGAAACTTGTAAAGTGAATAAATACGCTTTGAGTGCAGAACGGGACTCCGCAAAAAGGAGAATTTCTATGGAATGGCATTCAGTGAAGGAAAGGGGTCGAATATCATAGAATATTGTCTAAAGGCAAAGGCAAAAATGGGTTTTGAATTTTATGGATGATCTGAGCTCAGTAGATAACAAATGATTAAAAATGATAGAAACGTTCGAGGTTTCGGTCATAGTGCTTTCATCCCCTATCTCCCCAGCCAAGATTTGCCAGGAGAGTGGAAGGTATTTGTCGGAAAAGATATCTTCCTGGCGCTACTCTTGACTCTGATTGATTACTTTGGATTGTTTCATTAGTACAATATACTCTGCTCGCTTTATCTTTCTCTCGTTTCCTCTTCTCCTCCTTTTTCTCTCATGACGTACACCACTACGCGGAGCGAGGTTAACTTACCCATGTTTTTGTAAATGCGCCGAGCCATCGAGTCTCTTACTCGCCCATCCCGTACAGGAGCAACATAGACGCGATTCGGAACTTCCTGGTTTCCTGGTTGTTGGCCCTTCGGTAAACCTTTTCCTCTTTTTCCTAAGTCTCTTTCAACCCAGCCCCTTTTTTTCGTTTTGTTGAGTTCTCAGTAAAAAAAAGATCGCTCAATACCAGCACTTGATTTTTTCAGGCCGCGACCGCCTGCCCCATCCGTCGACCTGCCGGTATCAGGTACGCTTGTAAATAATTGCTGAATACATGAGTTCTTACTGAAAACAGCCAAAAGCGGTCTAAAACGGCGGTGGTTTTTGAGAAGACTTCTTAGCTTGGCCTAGCCTCGATATCTCTCATCGTCCACCTTAGAGATAGAGTCCATGGACCTCGCCATTCTATTGTCGAGTTTAAGACCTCGTCGTTTGGACGAGATTTCCGCGACTATTGACATCATACCCATAGGACTTTCACTGATTCAATGTGGCAATGGTACTTGCTTCCCTCCATTAGCACAATTGGGGGCGGTCTACTCGATGGGTGGGTAGCATCTTATGGAGTATCACTGTGTCCCTTGAGCTTCCTGCCAAGTAATTGGTAAAGCCTCTAGAGTTACTGAACAATCTTATCCCTTTTGCGTAGTAGGGTACCTTAGGAGGGCGTGTCTTTGACATTATTTCTTAAAGGGAAGGGACCAATTATCGAAGAATCGAGGTCCAGAGTCTTTTAAAGAGTATTCTTCCGAAATCTTACCCACCGCCGCTCAAAGTAGAAGCACGAAATGAGGGAGAAAGTTAGAGCGCCTTCTTAAAAGGTGTAAAGGATCCGCTTTCTATGAGCTTTCATTTATTAACTGAGTTTTGTAAGGTGTTTCAGTAAGATCACTGCAATCCCATTTCAGCTGGCCCCAAACAGCCGAGGGGCCCCGCTTTTGCCACTCCAATGATAGTGGTCCCGGTTCTTATGAGTCCACCAATGTCGCCAACCCCAACGGTGGCAGAACAATCAGTACCATCAGTTACCGTTTTGGAAAGACTCTCGGTTCCACAAGGTCGTGTTACGGCAAGTCTGTCGGCTCCACCAGGAGGTATCGCATGTAGCCCTTCACCACCACCGCCAGGGGCTATCAGTGATCAGTCACGGAACGTCAGGAAGAGCTTGTCTCCTCCAAGAATCCATGGGCTCAACGCTATTACTACACCATCTAGCTGTGTGCAGGTTCCAGGTAAAGTCCAGGATACTCGCCGCTTGCTATTGGCTTCTAAAGCTTCACTGCTTTGTATAGGATCTTTGGCACCTGAGAATCAAATTAGGCCTATACACAAGTGCATAGAACGGTTGCATGACAGTCAAACAGCCGGATCGGTCCTTGTTCAGGCTGAGCGAGCCTTCGGTCTTTACCAGCTTTTTAACCATAGATCGAAACAGGACGTCGTGTGGACGTCAGCTAGATTTATAGATTTTACTCTCCTTCACGGTTTTGAGGGTATAACANNNNGTGCAAGGCGCATCCTACAGCAATAGATCATCACCATCTAATCACTTCTACGATCCAGCCTAGATTGCATGGCTCTCACGTTTATAACTAACAATGAGCTCGGCTATCACTGAAAGCTTTTATTTCTGTACATTGATATGGTAGATTTCTGCATTGTAGGTAACGTGTCCACGTCTGAGGACTTGAGTACGGCAACGAAAAGCGATACGACACTGAAAGGCAGTAGGGCCAATAGTATGGCGGATCCACCTGTGAAGAACACCCAAGCGCCCGTCGTTGCGACACCACCACCACCACCACCACCGAAGGTTTCTTTTAAAATACACTTCTTGCACGAAAAACTCGCTTTCAGGCAGACACCATGGGTGGAGCTATCCGGTACCGTCTACGATCTCTACTTGTGCAGCTGTTTCTCTGTTACAGACAGGTCTTGTAAATGGACCTATGGTGATTGTAGACAGTGCCAGGAAGTTCCGCCCATTCGCTGACGCGATATGAAAGGGTCTTGCGGATAGACCAGTGGGATCTCCTCCGTAATATTCGCACCTATTACTTACTATCAGCTGTTGAGAGCCCTGGTGCTCATGTTTTGTTTAGCATAGTTATGCTTACATAACAGAAATGCATAGTGCACGATTTTCGCACGATTTTTTTCACATTAATATGTTTTCTATATCACTGTATAGTATAGTTATTCACCTTCACAAATGCACATCTACATTTTGCTCTATTTAACCCATTTGCTTTCATTTCAGTCTAACGATAGCGGCAGTTTAGACGATTTTACTGAGTTCTGCGAGGTGAGTGCTGTTAGATCAATTCCACACAAATGTTCATACTTCATAGAAGTCCAAACTATTGATCAGATCCAAGGGGCGAAAGATAGTCATAGCTGCTGTCCAATTCTGCCCTAGCATTATTGATAGATATTTGATGTTGGATGGGCGAGAGATACACGGAACGTTGACCAATCACGATTAGCTTTGGTCTCAGGCAGCTCCGCCCATCCACATAGCTCGTCCAAGGCACATCTGTTAATCTCCTGACATAGCCTTTTCTATTCTATGGGTAGTTATAAATAATCACACCGATTTTGTTATAACAGCACTTTACTCTAATGAATGGCATAACATAGTTTGCTTACTAGGTTAGGTTAGCTTGCAAGTCTGGATAGTGTAGAATAGTTTAACAGTAGTTTGCTCAATTTGTTCAGATTTTTTTTTTGCAAAAGGGGAAAGGCACTGAGTGTTGAGGAGAGTCTCTAAAGTTGTTGCGCACACCCGTTCAAAATATTTTTCCTCAAAAAAGCGGAAAAACTCGTAGGATCTTAGACCACCTACATGTTTTTATTATCTCCGAAGTTGTAGATTTTTTTAATCAAGCGAAAGTCTATCGTAGGGTTCGGAGTTTTCTTGAAGCATATACAGTAGCGCTCAAAAGTTTTCGGCCAACTTTAACTTGCTGTGACTTTTTTCCCAGTGGAGCGAATCGCATGAAATTTCGATATGTTTAACTGAAACATATTTCACACTATCCAACACTATTTGACTGCAAAGCAGCAATGTCCACATAACTAACGAGAAGGCGTTTGTAGACTATGCTGAAAGCAATTCTGTGACGTCTGTAGTTATTCGCAACCTTATTTACGTTTTTCTCCTATTCTGTGTTCCGCATTAGCGCTCGTACACTTTGGACATACAAAAAGGAAAAAAATCCTAGAGCACCAATGTCCCTATTTTCAATTGGTTTTGATCTCAAGCGCTTTGGGATATCTGGAACATGATCAGATTAGGGTTTAATAGTGGTAAGTATTCACACTACACCCATGCTACACAATTGAAATTTCGCATGATTAGACCAGTAGGAAAGGAGTTATGACTGAAAAGTACGAGTGAAGAAGCACTTGGCCGAATTCTTTCGAGCCCTACAGTATGACGGATTTATCGTCTAGCCCTTTATTGGACCAGTTGTCTTCCAGTCCATGGGAGTGAGTGGTTCTTGTCTTCTAGAGGACATGCTGGTATTAGAGAATTATGTTGAGGCTTACAGAACCGTTAATTCGTCCCCCAACTGCGATGAAATTCCGAAACCAAGCCGCCGTAGTCGATGGGTCGGTTAGGTAGGTTTGGATAGGGAAGTGAGGGGGAGGAGGAAAAACCAAAGGCACTGCGGCACGCATTGATTTTATCGCCAAATTCCACTAAACCCTATTCCGGGTGGTAGGTAGTAGGACGCCGTAATTATAAGAAGTTCCTACGTGAACGTTCGGCGTAGGTTTTCCCTTTGAGATTCTACCACAACTTTGATGAAAAATGAAAATAAGCAAATAAAAACATACTGCTAATTTTGTTGATTCCTGACCTGGATGATTCCAGTCGGGAACTGATGCGTCGAGTATCATCGACGATGAATCTCAATATAGCGCTGTCGTCCACTTCAAGCCGAACAAGGTATTCTGATTTAGTGCTTTCATTTATTTGTAAGGAAACATTAAATAAACGAATAATTAATGATAAAATTGAGTTAGTTGCAGTTGATTACAGCTTTTATTTAGATTTAACGGAAAAATGTGCGTGTCATGTCGTGTTCAACTAAATCAGTAGTTTAGACACTGAACAGCTTTAAATTTCATTTCCTTTTTTTGCTGGGAATTTTTCTATACTATCTGTCCTTTCCTATCTGTCCCAAAACTTAGAAGGGATGGTCCATTTGGTCAGGGTCCGATGAATCAAAAGAAACCCAATAAAATTGTAATAAGAACGAGCACATTGTGTTCAGGAGCATACATAATTAGGATACTGTATTGTAGGATACTGTAGCATACTGTAGCATAGTATTACTGCCCAACATGGCCCTTCAAGCCTGCAACCAACGTTTTTCTGAAAGACATTTATGTATAATTATATTTTGTTGCAGCTCAAAGTGAAGCGAGTGGCCCCGGTGCCTGGCTTGTGGAAAGTGGAAGGTGCTGACGAATTCATCAGTAAGAACAAACGCCTTGTCAGGTGAGAGCCTTTGGGGGGATTGGGGGATGGAAATATGCCACGAGTGAGGTGAAGACGTTCCAGGGAACCCGAACAAGAAACGATTCTCTACGTGTGGAAGGTTCGACCACGTGAATTTGCCATCAAACGCATAAAGATGCCAAAGACGACAGTTGTAAAGAAGCCAGAACCAGAGAAGCCCGTAGTCACGGTGCCGGTCACCGAGGATCAGAAGAAGGAGGTTAAGGTAAATAGCCAAATCGCAGGCGAAAAGAGACCGAAGAAGAAGATTGGCCCATCGATGCTCAAGAAATTGGTGGGATTTTGGAAAGCTATTTTAATATTTAAAATATATCGCCTCAGTTACTCAGTTTCTCAGGTACAGGAGGAGATCTCACTGGGGATCACTTACTTTTGAAATATAAGCAAGTATGATTTCAGTTCTCTGGAATAACAAAGGACGAAAAAGTTGAGGAGAAGGTCGTGGTTGAGGAAGAAAAGAAGCCGGTTAAGAAGTTCGAGGCGCCAGTGGTGAAGATTGAAAAGAAAACTCCGCCACCTCAGAGGAAAGTGGCGAAGGCTGCAGTTGTGGAGCCGTCAAAGGAGAAGGTTGAACAAGCGAAGCCTGCAGTTGTGGAGCCGTCGAAGGAGAAGGTTGAACAAGCGAAGGCTGCGGTTGTGGAGCCGTCGAAAGAGAAGGCTGGACAAGCGAAGGCTGCAGTTGTGGAGCCGTCGAAGGAGAAGGTTGAACAAAAGCCAGCTGTTCCGGAACCAAAGAAAGATGTCGAGCTCAATGGAATGAAAGTGTCAGCGAAACCGGCAGTACCTAAGGAGGAAAAAATTCAGGTAGGTTTTCCATGTTTCGGGCAATTTCACACAAGTGGCTTTGGATCACGAGGTGAAGGATTCGATAGTGGGAAATCTCTTTACTCAATGATGCGCCACGTATTCATGTTCTGTTGAAGTTTTTGAATGAGTGCTTAAGTTATGGGAAATGACTTGTGGGAGCAGTGTAAACTCTGGTTTCGCCTACATACTCATTCAAGCTTACCTATTAATAGCAATCAGCTACTCTTAGCGAATAGAGGATTGAATCGCCAAATGGCGCCCTAGCCCATTTTAGAAATACGCGGAAATTTCAGAACCAGTGAGGGTTTTTTCGGGACATGAATCCTTACGTGTGTGTTAGAAATTCCTTAATCGCTACGAAAGCCCAATGGTAATGGTTACAGTACTCTTTTTCTGTTTCCTCTTTTCTCCTTACTCAGTTATAGAGGATGAACCTAATTCTTCACCTGGGTCCACCCGTAGGAGAAGAATAAGAAGGGTAAGAAGTGTAGGCACAATTGCTCTTTGAAGGGCAACTATTATGTTGGCGTTACCTTTCGGATTTTGAGTGAAAGCCGAATGCATAGCGTGCCTCAATCAATCAATACGAGCCACTGGAGCAGTTTTATTTATCTATAATTGCTTCTAAATCATTTTTTTTGTAATATCAGAACTAGCTCTTCTTCAGATATCAGCCGTTCTACGTTCAAAAACTGCTGCATGCAAAGGGGAAGTAACTGTAATCCTGGTGCAGCCAGTATTGTAAGTGTCGATTGCTCAGAGCTCAGATTACTTGATTTGCCAAAAACAACTTTATCGAAATCATCCAATCAGTATTCATGTATTCAGCGTGGTGTATAAACATCCTCAGAAGATTCGAGAGAAAAAGCCTTTGGTAACGAAGTCTGTCAGTTACTCGTTAGTCAAGAAGCCCCTACAGCTCGACGGGCAGAAGACAATCGTACAAAAGAAGTATGCTACTTTTAAAGCACAACATTTTTATCGTATCGCTATTGTGATCAACAGGTTACTGTAACGTAGGGATACTGTAATGCAGAAGTATTCTAGGGAGTGCAGTCTTAAATAGTAGGCTGAAGGTGGGATATTTCAGGAAGTCATCAGCGTCGGTGAAACTCTCATGTAAAGCAACTTCTATCAAGCATGCTACTTGCATTAAGGAATTCAACAGGAGAGCTGCTCAATTTGGAGCTCAGGTATTTCTTGTCAATTACTGGGAGAATCCACCACTTCTTCACATGGTCATGGACGAACTGAACTGGCAATACCGCGGAAACGGAAAAACTCATCAGTCAATAGTTGAGATTCCATGATAAGGGTGCAGTGAATGATGAGGACAGTTTGCACTGAGTTCTTATTAATCGCAAATCCTAGTTACCCATGGAGTTGTAGGAGGTTCGGGAGCGGTTCTAGCCATACCAGTTGTATAAATTGAAGACTCAAGCCACCGTATTACCTCGGACTTTTTGACTAGTGTCGACCTATATGATTTCAGGTCACTGTCGACGTTCCAATGCTTGATGTGAATGTCAGTCGAGTACGACTGAGTATCAAACGTCTTAAGAAGGCATTGTGAGTTGATGTCTTTGGTTGTTACGTTGTTGTAGGATCACCATGGAACTTTTTTTAAGGCCTCCTCCTCCTGTCGAAACCGAAGCTACGCCGAGGAGAAGTACAAGCGTGGAAAGCGAGCTCGCCTATCTCCAAGCAGTTCGTAGAGCCGTAGAAGTGAGTTTTTTCTTTTTCTTCCTACTTTGATTGGAATTTTTTTCTGGTTAGCTTACGACAGAAAATTCTTTCTGTCTTGGAAGCCACGGTCAAACATCACCAGTGACATACGTCGCTGTCCATATGTTTCATGGTTACAACAACATGCTTTGGATGTGCTATATCTTTTCCGCTATCATACACCACTGACTGCCAGCGTGCTTGGAAGAGTTTCTGGGAAAATTGGTAGAAAGGAGGGTTTAAGGGAGTGTTCACAATAATAATTGCCGATAACGATGACGTAATGACAGTAATGTATGAAGTTTTATCGTAAAATCTGATAATGTACTATAATTTATAGTAACTCATAATAATACATAATAAAAGATTATAACGTGAAATAATACCAGTACTTAGTGACATATAATAATATGTAGTATTATGTCGTAATGCTTAATTGTATGTGATGATATTTACAATCAAAAAATAATACGAAATAAGAACAAATATACATACATATAAAATATACATACAAATATACATACATGTATATACTACAGTAGTAGTAGCAATATTTAGTAATAACAGTGTACTGGCTAGTAGTGATGACTGATTTATATCTGCCTCAGTCCTGATAGTTGTTTCTCGCACTCTTTTTCAAAATTTGATGTATTGTTGGTGAAGAAGCAAGTTTAAGCCTGAGAGCACTAGCCAGCAGAAAGGTGGGGATGGTGCAGGTTCGCATAGCATTCAGCTCTGTGATTTTCTGACGATTCGGCGAAGTAACATATGGTTTGGTATTATTATGATGCAGTAAAATGAGCATCCTGTTGAACTTGTCGCCGGGTTCTTATCACTGAGCAGTTTAAATCATACATCTAGTGGCAGTTTCTCTTCCGGAGGTGCTTCTTGTTCAGACTTAAAGTTTCCGATAGATATCTTTTGTCCTCCTATTCCTATACAGTTGTGCTTCGTTGCTCTTCCATCGCTATCAAGTTGGCTGGTATCCAGCTGAGCTCCTTCCAACCGAGCAGTTGAGTAATGGCATCAATAAATGTATCTAGAAAGTTTGAAAGGCTCAGTGGGGTTGGCTGAGTTTTCATCTCTCTCCAAGATCGGATACAGATGCTTTCACCCACTGCCTAAGCTGTTCCCATTCCCGAACACTATGTTCAGGGAGGAAGTGGACCATCTCGAGTGGCGCATGACGTCGGATACCGGGTCGTTAGTCACACTACCCCAACTTTTCATCGTCGAGCGGGTCGTTAGTCATACTACCCCAACTTCATCGTCTAGTAGCCGATCGATCAGTACCAGTCTCGGCTAGCAAGATGAAACCACTCCCTTCCACAAGCTATGGCCTCCGCATGCCACCATAGGACACTTTCAATCGCGATTCTGGTTTGAAGTCGAATGCGAGAGACTGATCAAAGCCGGGAAACTTTGTTGGTTGTCCTTCGGAATTCGGATAGCATGGCACTGCAGTAACAATAGAAGAGTTCGCCGTAATCTTGCAGCATTCCATGAATCCTAGCTCGATGAAAAATTTTGATTCTTTTTTAATTCACTGTTGGTTACCCAACGCTTTGGTAATCCTGGAATTGGGAATTCATGATGGCTCCCAGGGTCTTGTCCAAACACAGAACCCATTCAAAAGATCTGCGTTTCCGGATAGAGGTCGAGTTCGTGGCTGACTGCAATGGAGGATATCTAAGAGGCAGAACTTCCAGTTTCAACTCGCAAGAGGCGCCTGGGAGAATTCGAAAAATGTTCAGGTTCAGGTTTAGTCTTTCAGATTCTGAAAGAGGCACAGTGTATTTAGTTTTTGTCCGTAGAAATATGCTGTTCGCCGACGTAAAGGTGGAAAACTGGTAGTAATTTACGTCTCCGACCATCCCTCGCAATTCGCTGAAGCCCAGTCGTCGATAATTCATGAGTTTTCTCATCTTCATGCATAGGAGCTTTGTGACGTATTAGTTCCTCGAAGTGAATGTAATGTCACACTCTTTGCCCATTCGATACCGACTCAACCTTGTAGTTCATATGTCTTACGTTTATGACAACCATGACAACTGTTCCTCGATGTGGTCAGAGAGTCTCCTTTTGCTATCGTGCCGACAACATTAGTGTAAGATTGCATGGAATATGTCACGAAGGCAAGCTGTCGTCGAAATCGTTACCGCTGAAGATGGATTGATTTCAAATTTTGATCCCAAAAAATTACAGGAATGAACTGTTATTTGCTTCCAAATTGACTGAAGGTGTCTGCAAGGAAAATCGGGGATTTTGCAAGAACTTTGTGAAATTTCCTGTTTCATACTGTGAAGATAAATACCGGTAAGTAAGCTTAGTCGGTCATGTAGTGCGCAAACTTGTGGGAATTCAAAAATCGAATGGGTTTGTGAGCTCGAAATCCGGTCGGATTACACTCGGGACCCTCGAGGGTGTTACTATACTTTTTTGTTTTAATTTCAATTGATTAAATTAGATTTTACTTGCTTTATGATGAACATTTTTTAATTACTGTAATCAATTGGTGATTAAGTTTTTTATTCTACGTCGAAAAGATTCTTGTAGTTGTGCTACCTTTGAAATTCCAAAAGTTCATTTGTGGGATCAATCATAGCTATTTATTTCACCTATTAGATAGGTTTGCTACCTTTCTTTTGTTTTCTATCATTTTTTTTGTTCTTGAAAATGGTTTTTAAGGCTTCGCCGATGTCCACATCTACTTCAAGAGCAGCTGAAGTCCTGGATGATATGAGGAATTCAGAACCAGCACACGCCTTCAGGAGGCCTAGTCGAGAGGTACGGTACTTTGCTGTAGTGAATCTATAGATTTAGAGAACGCTCTTCATCCATGCCATTTATTATTTTTCTAAACAGATGTGTTTAAAGATTCTTCTTTCTTCGAAAAATGGGTATTTAATGAGCGAAAGGCAGATACTCAAGAAATCGATAATTGAATTTTTCCCCGACGACAGAACTTGGGAAGTAGCCCTGGTCCTGAAATTACATCTGCAAAAGTGCGATGTCAAGTAATTCCGAGCTTAAGAGTTCATACTGTATGATTGCTCAAGTAGTAGTCGTCATCGCAGCTCGATCTCTAATGTATGTCATGGCGATGTCTTCGGCGGGCTACGAAAATCACTCAAACGCGATCAATTTCGCTTGTACTTCTAGTAAAATGATTTGCATATATAAATTATATCGAGATCGATTCTGTAGAAGTGGCGGGGTAGGAGCTTACAATTAGGATAAAGAGAGGTGCCTGGTCGAGAGGCAGGGTCAAAAGAGTGAAGCTAAAAGAAAGGCAGCAACGGCTTCCCTTCACATTCATCACAGTAGAAGGTCACTTTATATGCTACTGTAATAGCTCACGAAAGTCATATGCATGGCTCATTCCATGCCAAACGGCAGTGCTGTCCAGCGCTATACATATAACAATGTCTATATAGAGTTTATATAGTGGTCAGATGAATCTCTCGCCAAGTTCTCGGTCTTTTTCTCTCCCAATCCTTTATCATTGAGCTTCCAATCTTCCCAATCACAAAAGAGTCCTAATCTAGCATAAGAACTGGTAACCAGTACTGGTAAAGATTTGACGATCGGAACCTCCATGAATAGGTACAGGTGGAATCAGACTGAATCATTTTCCGATTTCACGTTGCAACTGAGTCATTCTTTCGAACTATTTAATTCCGCTGTCAAGTCTGAATTCTCTTCAAGACCTGACCAATCGATAGAATAACCAGTCAGCCACCGACGAGTAATGACTACATTCAGAATTTTTGTCACATAATGGCATTCACCGTTTTCTAACGATGTTCGTAAATCCTGGCTGGAATGCTGCTGTAAAGAATCGACAATCTTAGAGCAGAGTATTACTGCATAGCTAGCCATCTGCTGTGTGTCTGCGATTTGTGTTCTGCCTTGTCCAATGGTGGCGCCATCGCCATTGCAGCACAGCCGCCTCCACAAACCAACCCGCTGTCGTGTTTCATGTCCGATGAAAAATTCGGACTTTGATGTATCCGCCAATCAAGTCCTATCAGTTTGATTGGCAAAATCCTCTTTCTGTGAGCCATGCTCAACTCTTTCATTGATGTATACTTTTGCGATAGTACTTAGGTTAGAAACTAGACTTTGAGAGACTTTCCTTGAGAAGGGAAGATCATGGACCAATATAAGCATGAAAATCCGGTGCGGGTCAAAATTCTTGCCGTAACCCGACTATAGTTTCTTGCACCCACGATGATGCTGATGCGTCCTAATTTACGACCTTTTACGACTGGTAGCAACAGAATCAATGACCATATTACGGTAGGAATTCGCAGACATCTACATTTTCATTTTTTCGTGATAGGCAACACCGGGTTATTGCTTAACCACCCTTCGAGTAGTCGCCATGCATACGACTTTTTCTCAGAACGGCAGGGCTGCATGGATCGGGTTAGCACGATGACTTTAGAGGAAAAGCCAACTTCCGAGACAAGTCTACCGCCCAAGTAAAGCGGGTTAGGTAGGCTAGACAGGCGATTGAAGCCTTTTGGGCTGGTAAGAACGATAACCTGTCCTTGTTTGGTACCACCAACGCTTAGGGATAACTGGGTGGTTTTAGTCAATCGGGAGCTATAAGGTCATACGATGGCTATAAAAGAGACTGGAACAAATGACCTGATTAGGTCTCCGAACCATAAGCTATTTAATTTGATGTGGCGCCGTGGATCTTGCGTTCAATTTGTCGCAGTACAAAAAATTGCCCAGAGAGTTCGAGTCCAAAGAATAGCTTAGATTGTAGTATGATTTTTGTAAGAGGTACTGTAGCACAGACTTTTGTAGAGGGTACGATTTGGGAAACCTGTTTTATACATTTTTCGCCTCGGTTCCATGTAAATGAAGGAGGCTATATCACCGGAATCGTTACGAATGCAGATTTCAGTGGTCATTTTTTGTGTTCCAAACTGGCTTTCTCAGCTGAACCTTATGAGAAGGTCAGGTCGAAGTAAGTGCCCACATTGCTCATCAAATAGGAACTTTCTCAGCAAACCAGTCATAATCATGGCCAAGCGTAGGTCCGGCCTGTTGCTCCGGCAGCGTTTCTCTTCTTCACCGCCTTCCCATCGTTTGAGAAAAAGATGGGAAGAATTTGGTGGTTCTAGAAAAAAATGAGCCCAGATGACCATGGGGCGTCGCAGTTCTGAATGGGAAGTGTAAGGATTCATTGGCTAATTTGGTAATAATCACGATTTCCGATCGACCGCATATGCCTTGGTACGTTATAGGCACTTCTTACCGTTGCCCCTCCTTCTGTTTCGGTTGTCATTCTTGGCCTATTATTCTTTTCCCGGAGAAGGAAACGTGACCGCAAAAGACTCCGCACGCTTCCCCTGTCACAGCGGTGTGACCGCGAAGTGTAATAAATTTTTCCCCTTTGAATGACACCCGGGCCGCCAAAAAAGGCATTACTACGACATCTGCTGGTTGACAAATTCCTGAAACTGCCCACGGGTGGGTGTCCAATCAATATTGTTTTGTACTATTTCGGTGTGCCGTCGTTTTGTTTTCTCAGATTTCGTCGTTACTGGAAAAACAACCAAATTCTTGGTCAGTTTTTTCGACAGCAACTGACTATCGTTGCTGAAGGGTGTCCGATGTCAGGGGCAAACTAAGTGTGCATGCCCCATATATTTTGAAGATTATGTGACGACGAAAAGCAATAAACTGCATCAGGCGATCGGCATCGACGGATGACGAAAAGCAATAAACTGCATCAGGCGATCGGCATCGACGGATGTCACCGACCAATTCGCGGAACGTCCACGATTTTGCATAGTTTACGGGCCCACGGATAGATCAGTGTTGTTAAAGCGCCTGATTACACTACACCCGTGGCCCTGCACACGGTCACTCATTCCCTGGGCCTCCGTCGTCGCCGTCGACGTCACCGCCGCCACTGCCGCCGACGACGACGCTGTCCGGTCAGTTCTGGAGAACATCTGAGATATTGGGGCCTTTGTCTGACCCTGTTACTTTGCTGTAATCCTGTAGTTATTAACTCGCATTTATTGATTTATTTATCACCTATTTATCCGTAGCTATATATACCTGAGGTATTCATAGGTGCTCTCGCGCAATCAGGTTGAACACGCAAGACAATCTTGACGCTTTTAAATTTCAGTCCTAAAAATTGAACCGTAAATGCCATGAAGATGCTCTTGTACATTCTAGTCAGATACAGTATACAAGTAAATCTAGAGCAAGTCTGCTTTGCGATAATATTGAAGCCTTAACCTCCACCACATATTCTAATCATTCATCTATTTCGTTCGCACCGATCCTTTTAGAAGACGCACATACTAAAGTATCGATTTGACCCAAAAAGTGGTTTGAAAAAGCTTTCGATCCTAGAAGAGGACAGAGATGTCATTCATCCGGAAAATTGAGGCTCCCCATGCTGTCCTGGATCTTTTGAATAGAGCTACTCAACGTTCCTGACGGTTGTATTTTGAGTTGATGTGTGAGCTCATTTTTGGAAGTAGTCATTTGGATTGAGGGATAGTCTTGGAAAGAGCAAATGTGGTTCTTATACTTTAAAAGTACTAAATTAAAGTAGCAGTAATATTGAAAGCATCGAGCTTCCTTCTTGTCAATAGAGAAAAGACAGTGACCACTGCGTCTAGAAACCTGTCCGAGATCGACAAGATTCTTAGGGTGTGGTATGTTAGTCGGCAAGTAGTAAGATGAAGCAGACAACTCGAGCAACTTTCCCTACCGTGTCTTCTTAGTTGGGAAACTTCAAAGGAGTCTTGCTTGTAAGGGCTGAAGTGCCGAAGTGATCAGAACTCTGACCATTGTACAGTTAAATGCACATTCAAATGTCCACTTGGACCTTCTCGGACGTCAAACACATGGCTCATCAATTTGATTAGCAGAATGACACTGCTGTCATTTTTTTTCTCCGAAATTCATGAAAATTAAATGTGAGGAGAGGAAAGTGATCATCCTAGGTCCTGTCACCCACATTAGCATTATTTCGAAAAATATCTCCTCAAACCATATCCGTACTTTATGATTAGACATGTCCTGCATTTTTTAATGGAGTATTATCTTGTAGAATACATTTTTCCTCAAAGAATTTGCAGTTTCCAGCTCGCCAGACTTTTCTTTTTTTTCTTTGAGTACATTACATTGTATGAGTACACAGTGTAGTGCTGTGGTGTAAATGTGAATAGAAGTTCTCTTACAAAGCAATTATTTCTAGCTACTTCTTTTACAGGAAGAGTACAACGCTTCGGGTCACCTGATCCTTCCTGACAAATCGTTGCTAGAAGAATACGTGAGGAGGTAACTGCTTTTTTCTTTGTTTTTCTCTGTACACCTCTCTACCGTTTCATAAATTCGCATAATTTTCAATATTAGTTTATTAATAGTAAACGATGATGGAATAAAAATGATAACTGGAAAGCAGATCTGGATGTTTTCGATTTATTTGCTTATTTCTTATGCTAAAATTCGAAGAATGAGCTACAGGTTTAATTTGTGTTGATAAACAGCTTTTACAATGGTTTCGGGCTTTATTTCATTCTGCTACGGAATTTTCACAAATAGCTGTGAAAATGATTCAAATCTTTTAAGGAGTGTTCTGATAAATTAAATTAGTGTGGATAATTTTCTTGTAATCCTGAGGCCGGTTGCTTTGGTAGTCAATATGGTGGATGAAAATAATGTTTAAGTACGCAGCTCAGCTTCGGGTCATTCCGGCTCAAGGTCCCACTCCAAATGGTACTAGGTGCATTCCTACTTAACTATTTTGACCTGTAGGAACCATTCGATGAGGCAGCAGTAGGCTCATGTACTCATAAATCTATGCAAACAGCCTTTTAGGAAACTTGTTTCGGCTTGAAAACTTGACTCGGATTTTTTGAGCAAAAAGTGCTTGCATGGCGTGACCCGCAAACCAATCAAAGGTGGAATTTTGCCATTATGGTTATCGAGGAATTCAAGTGGCAGCTAATACTAGAGCGTGATTTAGACTACTAAAATTATACCCTTTCAAAATTGTTGATGAACATGTTTGTTTGTTGATTTTTTTGAAAATTGTATTTAGTAATTACTTGAATGCGGCGCTGCGATTTCAAGTGCATTGCTATCGTTACCGGGAGTGCCAACTATTGTGCGATTTATCCAGTTGCTCATCCGATCCTAAGAACCCAACAACTTAGCTTCATGCTGAAGTCACCAGTATTCATATGAAAATAGACAAAAAAGTTAATAGAATTGCAAAGGGGATAACAGACTCCTTCGAAAAAAAAAACGATTTTGCTGATGAAACTGGATATTCATACTAGTTTATCGGGTCATTATTGAATAATATGATTAATTGTTATCAGTTGGATACAATTTTCGATATTTGTTTCTGTTTATGCTATTATTTATTTACTGATTATTATAAACATAGACTCATTTTATCAAATTAAACCATTGGTTACCTCTGCAGAGAAAACAGCAACACTGCAGAAAGCTTTTTTTCTTACATCGAGTGGGTAATACAAACCATTTACCCGTAAACTTTTTTTTCAAATTTCAGGAAGCGTGGACGGCTAGAGCAGCTCTTGAAGGAGCCCATTGCTGAAAGAGGTGAACCGCGATGCGATTCGCCAGCGAATTCTGTCACCAGTGAATTGATTCCTGCTTGTGCAGGTGAATGACCTTTTTTGCTGCTGAATATTAGTACGATTCGTACTCCACTTTTCAGTCCGAGTTTTCGAACGCAGCCCATACGGTGTGCCAGTGATCACTGCGCCTTCGCGTAGTACATCCCGTGTAAGCAGTGTAGGCAGTGTTGAACCAAATACTCCGACCGTTATGCTTGATACCATAACTTCGTACAACAACTTCAATTCGACACCACAAGGATTTTTGCGGTATGTCCAACATTTTACCAATAACGAACGCAATAGTTTTTGTTCTCGAATATTTCATAGACAGCGAATTTCGGGAAAGTACGCCTGTGATAGGCGGGACTATGGTATGCGCGCGGGTGCGGTGCGACAAAACTATAGTACCTTTTTCAGAGGTGTTCTCACCCGTTGCCATTCTTCATCGATTCTTTTATCCTGAAAAGCCTTATATTTGAAACAGTCTAGGATATAATTTAAGAGATGCACGGATCCAAATTGCAAAGCCGATCAGCTTCGATCCGCCAAGAACACCGTTTGAAGAACGCCTTCAACAACAGGCACATGCTATCCGTAAAGCGTCGGCGTCGTCGATTTTGTCAGCAGATGAACGCTCTCCGGTGCGTTTATACTTAATTATTTCTCCGAACATCGATATCATTATATCGTGTGAGTGGTATTGCTTTATAGTATTCCTGTGTATGAAAAAATTGTTCCTTATAGAGATTTCTGCGTAGCGATTCGGCGAGCTTTTTCCAAGATTCTATCTAATCAGTCAGTCAGGATCAGTCAAGAATTCTTGCTTCCGTTCAAGTTTTTGAAAGTTACGGAATAATTTTGACCAATTCTACGAAATAATCATGTAGGAGAAGCTAAACCTATACGTAAAAATTTACAAGGGGCTCTAAAATTGGAATGATGTCTTTTTTGTGAGACAATGAGTAGATCCAGCTTCCGAAGGTATCCACGCTCTTGAATGAGGGTTAAAGGCATTGCGCGTCACTTAGAGATAAATCGATGCTTTTACGACTATTATCCTTTCTTACTAAAAGTTATTCGTTCGGAATTACTCGGTCCGTTGTAAAGCTCCTTTTTCTGTTCCGAAACTTCTCGAGCGTTTCTTCCAGGCGTAATTCTATCAGTGAGGGGGAATTTCTAGGAACAGTGATTGGCCTTCCAGATGACTGACACTTGGCAGCTTGGTTTTTTCGTTCCGTTCGGGACAAACGAACGCCTTGAAGTTGCTGATGTGTTTATGTCGTCGAGATAGTACTTTTCTACATCGTCATCCTATCGATCGTCGTCAGACTGAGCGTATGTGGAGGGATGAAGTCTCAGATGTGGATGAGAACCAGCTCTATCCAAAGGGCGCAGTGGATGAGCGGTGGCGCTGATGAAACCTGTGGCGCCATTGCCTACTCATTCACCATAGGCGCTTCTTCAGTGGCGGTCAAAGTGACATGTACATGTCGATATGGGGTTATCTATCTCATGGACAAGTGTGTCTGTGGGTGTAAATGGGTAGGCGGTTCCCATTAAGTCTACCTGTTCTTGTTCTTGTTCTTCTCCTTCGTCTTCTTTGACAACAGCGACATATCACACATCGCTGCACACATTATAGTTCGCCATTGTAGCTTTGTTCGTTCTGACAAGGTTCATCGCTTCGCCAATGAGGCATGGACCACAATCTGACTTCCTACAATACGGCTCATTTATTGATTTTTCCCAGTTTATTGATTGCTCGGATTCTTTAGTCATCTCATTTCACTCAATCATTCCATTCTCAAGCCTCTAAACCAGTTATTAAATTAGTACTTATTTTCAATTGATTGAAGAAAACGGTCATCATCTGTTAGTCTTGAACATCTCTGAGACGCCTCTGTTCTACAGCAATATATTCAGATGAGCCATTACTAAAAGATTATGCTCTCATTATTGAAGTAGTTAACAGTTCATAGATTCCTTCAATAGAGGGGAGAATTCTCTGTTCTAATCTTTCGTGATGCGCCACGTCTCGGCTTCGTTCAAAGGCCGTGGAAGTGATTGCTTGGTCATTCTCCCTACCCAGTAATCGTGTGGAGCTTGGTTTCGGTCGAAATAGTGCTTCGGTCTTCCCAAGGAGCCTATCACGAAAATTATCCGATCGCCATCATAGGAACATGTTAAACACTAGGTTTGAAGGATCCGATCTTACGAAGTTAGACACACACAACGCCTGTA